TTTTTTCCTAACACCGTATGTACACTTATGTGACTATTCCTTTTAATGAATTTTGAATTTTTGCTTTTGTTTATCGCTTTACTTTCAATGAATTGTTATGTTTGTTTTTTCCAACTTATAAATAATAAATTAAATAAAACTGCATAAAAAAAAATTTAAACTTTGAATTATTTTGTTAGAAAATCGAAAAATTGTCATCGTATGTTCACTTTTGTGGTTAAGTGTATGTAATTTCCCTAAAAATAAAACGAAAATATATTTTGTACTTTGATAAAAGTGCGTTCACATAGTATACATATAATATACATATACACATATATATATATACACAGTAGCATAAACTTGTGCACATATTCTCCATTGTATATGCCTTTTACCTACACTTTGCTCGTAGGGTAGTTGAGTAGACAGTAGAAACCTTGCATACATTTTTCATTCTTCACATGCTATCTGCAAACAATTCTCGTCCGGCTTATATGATTTTGAAGGTAAATAGTGTAAATTGTGAAGTTGAAAGTTATCGCTTCTCGGCCTTATGGCTAAGATCAAAGTGTAGTATCTGTTCTTATCAGCTTAACATCTGATAGATCCTCCATCGGAGGACAACAAATGTTAAACTGATTTTTGGAAACGGACGGAGTGTTTTAGGGGCTTGCTCCACCTCTGTCGCGGGTTGGCCCGGTATTGCAGTACCACCGGGATTTCGGCCCAAATTATAAATACATACAAATTTAGAACGAGAGTTTATTTTCCAATCGTTGAAGCAGTTGAGCATTGTTTTTGATTTTGTCATCTCAACTGAATTCATAGTTATGGAATACAATGCTCGCGACAGACTGCAAACGACATCTGTCAAATATTAAAATACACATGTTCTTGTCGACGGACCTATTTGGGCAGCTGCACGACTACACGACGGCAGGGCCGGCAGTTGTCGTTCTCGCTAACTTCAATTTTAGCCTATATTTGCCAACGACAGCAGAGTTGACAGGTGGAAGAAAGAGAGATGAGGTGGAGTGGTGTTGCCGTTATATGTAAAATTACTCAAAGTACAAATAAAAGCATAAATAGCTCTGTTACATCATTTATAATAACAATTGATAATTTAAAGCAAAAATATATACTTATATTTTGCTTAAAAATTTCACTTTGAACAAAATCTTAAAATTTCAATGCATTGCAAGAAGGAAGGTATGGCCACAACGAAATTGTGCACATGCAAAATGGACAACCTTGTTTTGTGTACTGCCGGCCATTGTTATGTTGCTGCCCTCTCACAAACGTACTAGGATTCACAACGCCATTTTCAGTTCACTGTCGTGCTGCTGCGGTCTGTCGCTAGCATTGTGTTCCACACATAAGTAGTAAGATAGGCGACCATTGTTTGATTTATAGGAAGTATCAGGAAAGATATACTACGATCCAACAACGAGTCGAAATTATAAATATTTTCGGCTACAGTGGCGTCAACTTTAAGAGCGCTACACGTCCAATTATTGGTCATCTAAATCGTCCTGTCAGAGCAATTATGCGTCTAGTGGAGAAACTTGAATCCACAAGCACAATACAAAGTGTTCCCCTTGCCAGTGAGACAAAGAGGTGGCCGTTGTGTCGAGAATTGTGAGCGTCAATTGAGGAAGACCTAAATCAGACTCACGCCGTTCCAAGCGTTGAGCATTTCTGTGACGCCGTTGTGGCGAATTTTGGGAAAAGAACTTGGCCTTAGATCAAATTGGCGCAAGAACTGAAGGCTTTTACCACCAGAATCGAAGTGGAACACCTTGAAAATGCGTTATTGGTCAGACAGCAATCCACACCTTTATAGCCATCCGAAGTTTGCATCCCGAAAAAGTTACAGTGTGGTGCGGTTTATTACGGGCCGGCGGCGTCGTTTTGAACGTTTCTACGAATAGGAGTCGGTACCGCTCCAATGATAACATATTATTGGCCCGATTGGACTTGGAAATATGTGGTTAAAACAGGAAGAAGCACAAACAAGCCACACACAGCGAACGGCAATCGATTTAAAATTTGTGAAGGTGTTAGTTATCTCACGACACAACGGATTCTGCAATTTGGCGCCGTTAGATTATTTCCTGTGGAGCTCAAGCTACAAACAAGCATATGTGACAGAAAGCGACGATTGATGAACTCCGTTCGAACGTGAAATTGTGTCAGTGGGGTTTAAATATTTTTTTTCAGATTTCAATGAGCATTCAAATATCCTGTCCCAATATTTGTTACGTATTTAATAATGTCGGGACGGCGCGAACGCCATTCCCGGCTACCAAAAATTACACGCACGAGTTATTCGCATTAGGAATAATCGCGGAGGTCAACTCAACCGAAAGTGCAATGGCCAAGCCTCACTCCGGAGGAACCGCCTTCATGATCACGGTAACCTCTACGCCAGGTAAGTATGCTTTACTTCGCTAACAACCAACCTTTTCAATTCACACATCGTTAATATTTCTGAGAATTGGTAGGCTGCTTGTATGAGTGAAAGAAAACTCTATTGCTAGAAGTATTTGCTCTTGTTTTACATATTTATGTACTAAGTTGGTGGTTGCTTTTTAGCAAGTCAAATGGGTGATTATCATGCAATTTTTGTACTTCTGCCACAAACATTGATGGATTATTAAACAAAAATTACTTTTTTTAAAAAATTTCGATTGAATTTATTTTTAATTTTATATTAAATTACACTTTCGTTCTTAATATCTATAGTTGTAATATAACAATAAACTAAAATAGAGAAAAACATAACAACAAATATTAATAATAGCTAATGTAGTCCCAATTTTAAAAGATATTTCTTCATCCGTGTTGTTATATTAGATATTATATTTTTGAAGTCAAATGAGTTCTGTAAAGAGATAAAGTAAAAATGTAAAAATAGTTTAAGAGAAAGAGATTAAAAAATATTAATGTGTTTTTCTTGTTTTATTTTTTTATTTTTATTTTTATTAATAAATTTAATTTTTTTTGGGTCGTATTAGAATTCCAAATTAATTCTTACTAATATTTATTACAATTTCCTAAATATTTAAAAATCATAATATGTAAACAATTCTAAAATTGAATATAAAATATAAAAAATAATAAAATAACCCACGAATGCAACCATGCAGTTTTGGGAACGGATATCGCGTAAAGGAAAACAAACTGCAAAACATTAGTCAGCTGCTACAAAATCAATAAACACTCCAAGGCAACGAAAAAGTGAAAAGTCGAAACTTTGCAATTTTAACAGGTGCAAAATTATTCTTATTCTTTTTTAAGGTCAATCTAAAATATCTTAAAGAAAAATGCCACAAGAGCCACCAATAACTACAACTGATTTGGAGGGCGATGAAATTGAAAATGTACGCGTTGTCGTGCGTGTGCGACCTATGGAGAAGTCCGAATTGAATTCAGGCGCAACTAATGTTATACAAGTGGATAAAATCAATCGGGCAATCACAGCGGTGAAGCCAAACGCCGCGAATGAGCCGCCCAAAACTTACTACTTCGATAATGTTTTCAGTAGTGACTCAAATCAACTCGATTTGTATGTGGACACGGCACGCCCTATAGTTGAGAAGGTATTGGAGGGTTATAACGGCACTATCTTTGCTTATGGACAAACGGGTACGGGTAAAACCTACACCATGTCTGGTAATCCCGATTCACCGCAAACTAAGGGTATCATACCAAATGCTTTTGCACACATTTTTGGCCACATAGCTAAAGCAAGAGAGAATCAGAAATTCTTGGTACGTGTTAGTTATATGGAAATATACAATGAAGAAGTGCGTGATTTGTTGGGAAAAGATGTCAGCAAGAGTCTTGAGGTGAAAGAACGTCCCGATATCGGTGTTTTTGTTAAGGACCTAAGCGGCTATGTAGTGCACAATGCCGATGATTTAGAGAACATAATGCGTTTGGGTAATAAAAATCGTGTAGTGGGTGCAACAAAAATGAATCAGGAGTCGTCACGTTCGCATGCTATATTCTCGATTACGGTTGAAAGTAGTGAACTGACTCAAGGCGATATGACGAATGTTAAAATGGGCAAGCTGCAGCTAGTTGATTTGGCTGGTTCGGAGCGACAAAGCAGAACACAGGCCAGTGGACAGCGCTTAAAGGAGGCAACAAAAATTAATTTATCATTATCTGTGTTGGGTAATGTTATAAGTGCACTGGTTGACGGTAAAAGTACACATATACCCTATCGCAACTCAAAACTAACACGTCTACTGCAAGATTCGTTAGGTGGCAACTCAAAGACAGTGATGTGTGCCACCATAAGTCCCTCAGATATTAATTACATGGAAACTATATCCACATTACGCTATGCTAGTCGTGCTAAGAATATACAGAACCGTATGCGTGTTAATGAAGAACCCAAAGATGCATTATTACGTCATTTCCAAGAGGAGATTGCACGCTTGCGTAAACAGCTGGAGGAAAACAGTCATGAGGATCAAATTTCAGAAGAAGAGGATGAAGACATCGATGACGATGAAGCCGATATTGAAATAGAAATCGAGGAGACGCCTGTTTTCAATGGCAAGAAATCGAAGAAACGCGAAAAAAGCGATGCTGAAAAAGAGGAAAAAGAAAGACGAGCGCGGGAACACCAACAAGAAATTGAACATGCTAAATCTGAGCAAGAACAATTGCGTTGCAAGTTAATGTCATTGGAAGGCAAGATTTTGGTTGGCGGTGAGAATTTGTTAGAAAAGGCGCAAACGCAGGAGAAACTACTCGAGCAATCACTCGCTGAATTGGAAGAGCGTGAACAGGCGGAAAAGCAACTACAGCAGACATTACAACAAAAAGAAACCGAACGCATAGATATTGAAGAACGTTACTCCTCACTGCAGGAAGCAAGTACCGGCAGTACCAAGAAAATTCATCGAGTCATGCAAATGTTAATGAGCGTCAAATCCGAATTGGCTGACCAACAGCAAGAACACCAACGTGAAAAAGAGGGTATATACGAGAATATAAGAAGTTTGTCACGCGAACTGGCACTATGTGAATTAGTACTAAATTCCTATATACCTAAGGAATATCAGTCTATGATCAATCAATATACTCACTGGAATGAGGACATTGGTGAGTGGCAACTCAAATGTGTTGCCTACACGGGTAACAATATGCGTAAACACATCGCCGAGCCGCAAGAGGCAACCAACAAGCAGGAGTTTATAGATCTCTCGCATGTTTATCTCAGTTATAATACCGATGGTGTCACTAATCCTGTGCGTACAAAGTCAGCGCGTCCACGCACCTCAGGAGTACCACGACCAACCACCGCACGGCGTTACTGAATTAAGCGTAATATTTAATAATCTTCTTTTCACACACATTTGTACATTTTTTGTTGTTATATTTAAGTTGTGTTGTTTTTTGAATATTTTAGTTTTAAATTTTGTTATTTTTGTATTTGTAACGACTCGAATTCATGTTAAAACTAAACACACAAAAATGCATTTATTTTGCACTCTTCTATTGCGTTCCACTATATGCATTATTAAAACTACTTGGATTTGTTGTTGTGTAAAACCATTATTTTACGATGAAAGTGAAATAAATATTAAACATCGAGAATTTTGGGAAGTTATTAATTTTTTGTGGGAATTTGAAAAAGGATACGAGACTGAGTGTGTGCGTGAGGTACTTTGATCGTTGAAAGATGTTACCTATACAAATATTTCTAAACCTAGTTTATATAAATTGTTTTTTTTTTCCGACAGCACATTCAATTTTTATATTAGACATTTAAAACAGTAGAGTAAATTTAATGCACATACATGCATACGTCTATAATTATTTATTTTACTTACTTTTAGTACACATTTCCAACTGTTCTCAGTACTTCTCTCTTCCAATAAGTTTCATTCTGCCATTGTGAATTGCGCGAATGTAAGAAGAAGTGGCTAAACCATTTGTTTTTGACAGTACGCAGCGCTGAAGAAAGGTAAATTAATTAATAAACCAACGTGTTTTCATACTAAATTTAATTAAATAAAATATAATATATTAAATAAATATATTATTATAAAAAAGTTTACATTGATTAAATTTTACTGAATATCTACATGGCATTCGGTTTAAGTTCATATTGAATGAATGGTTGTGCTACGACGTCTCACGTGGGCTCACGATTTATTACAGCAATTCAAACGTCAGCGCCACTATTGGAGAAATATGGATTGTTCACTATTAGAACCACCAACGAGCGTGCGCGGCATGCTTGAATTGCAGCGTGATGCATTCAAAAAGCCTGTACAATTACCACGTTTACGAATGCCAGAAATGGAATCAAATAAAGTATTACCACTGGTTAAAAAGTTTCTGCTGAAGATGGACAGATTGCGACCCGTACGGGTGTTAGAGAAAAGTAATGAAGATGGAGATATAGCGCCGATGCGTGAAATATTACTGCATCCATTAGCAGTGAAATCATGGGATTGTCTACCAACTACAGAACTTTTAAAACTAAAAGTCGAACCCAGTAATTTCTATTACGACGAATTGGTACTTAACTATGATAATTGGCGGGCGGATGAAATTTTCAAGAGCGTGTTACCGGCAGGTGATGAGGGCCTTACATCTTATTCGCGTATTGGACACATAGTACATTTAAATCTAAGAGATCACTTATTGCCTTACAAAAACCTAATTGGTCAAGTCTTATTAGACAAAGTGCCCGGTTGTCGCACGGTCGTAAATAAGGCAGCAACAATTGATAATACTTATCGCAACTTTCAGTTGGAACTGATTTGTGGTGAAGCGCAATATCAAGTGGAGACCAGAGAAAACGGTGTGATGTTTGAGTTTGACTTTTCGCGAGTATACTGGAATCCACGCTTATCCACAGAGCATGAAAGAATCACAAAAATGCTTAATGTAAATGATGTGCTCTACGATGTTTTCGCCGGTGTTGGTCCATTTAGTGTGCCGGCTGCACGTAAAAGATGCTGTGTACTATCAAATGACTTAAACCCAGAGAGTTACAAGTGGTTACAGCACAACGGTAAACGCAACAAATGTTTGACGCACATGAAAACTTTCAATAAAGACGGACGCCAGTTCTTGCTGGAAGATGTGAAACCTGATTTATTGAAAAGATGGAAGGAACAAACAACTGCAGACTATAGCATTCATATAACAATGAATTTACCTGCGATGGCGGTGGAATTTCTTGATGCTTTTCGTGGTTTCTTAAACGACGAGGAAGCGAAGGAATTTTCGAATCCACAATTAAATTATCCAACTGTACACGTTTATTGCTTCGCAAAAGGCGAAGATACGAAAACATTGGCGCGTGCCTTGGTTGAAGATAATCTGGGTATACCACTAACGGACAATTTAGAAGGCATTCATTTCGTGCGCAATGTGGCGCCAAATAAGGACATGTACCGAGTGTCATTTCGACTCACGAATGAAATTTTGACTATGCCGATTACCAAAAAGACTGCTGACCAAATACAGCGAAAGCGTGCGGCCTCCGAATTAGAAGAAGACTCAAATATTGCCAATAAAGTAAAATGCAATTGAAAGTTATTTGATTTTAAGCACACACTGAATAAATTTTTGTATAAATTTAATATAAGTGACAAGACTTTCATTTCTACTGTGAGGCAGTTTGTTATTGTTTAGTAAAAATAGTATTTTTTTAATAAAATTACAGTGAATTAAAAATGGGACGTAAATCAAAGACCGCTGCTGGTAAAAAAGGTGCTGCTGCACCAGCTAAGGCTGCCATCAACAAGTCCAAGAAGGACAAAAACATATTTAAAGTTAACGATGCCAAAAATAAGAAGAAACCAAAGGCAGTGCAAGGAAAATTGAAAAAGGTAAATGAATGAACACTTGTTAACAACAATCTTCTTACTAATGAATTTCCGTCCACGCAGATCAAGGAGGTGGTCAAGAATAAGCAGGAGAAAATCGATGCAAACTTGAAGGAGTTGCATAAGGATATGGTCGTGAAGAAACCAAAGGCCGCAAACAATAATGCATCGATTAAGAAAAATAAAAAGGCACCAGCCAATACGAATAATGTGTCCCAAAAATTAGACAATTTGAAATTTTAAAAAGCGTTAATCCATATCAAAACGAAAATTACTCTGCTGATTGAAGTGTCGCTCAAGCAGCAAAATTTAGGCAATTAGTTGTTAATGCTTCAACCACCAGAGTATTTTAATTCCATGTTTTAGTATGAATATCTATATCTATATATATGTACTTATATATTATAAGTATTTAGTGAGTTTTGTTGTATAAGATCTAGCATATTTTATGGAGACTCGTATTAACACGCGTGTATAAATAAGTACAAATGCTGAAACATTACAAACACATAATAGTTAATTCACAATATAACATACATACATATACATATGTTTAGTATATGACGTAAATCCCCTCAAATAATTAAGTGTTTTAATTAATTACTAATTGAGTACATTAGCAAATTGATAATGGTTATCTAGTCTCCGTTAGGGTGATAAGGTTCAGAAAAGTTGTTATCGAGGTCATCCAACGGTAGCTGAAGGAAATGTGCTGTTTCGACGGGGTCGGATCCTAGGGAGACGGATGTCAGATCTGTAGGGTTAGCTGGGTATGCAAAGAAGTGGACATATATTTTATATGTGTGGGTCGATTCGGGATAAGTAGGAGTACAGTATCTAGAATGAAGCTGCGCAAGGGCCACTCTCGATTTTCGCGGCAACTAGAGCTCGTCGTCTGGTGGTAGTTTGATTCCAAGTACGCCATTCGGTGACAGGGAGTCAGTAAAAGGGCTTATTGCTCAATGCACCCATCATAAGACCTTAAGATCACGCTTTAAGACACACCGGGAGTGGACCACGAGTTACGCGGCTTCATGCTGTAAACACACCTTTGCGAAATTAGCCCCCCCAAACTTCAGCCCGCTCCAATCCTCCTGCGGGAACCACACAGCAACTCCTGCTTTCTCCCATAGCCTGTTCTGTGTACCAAATCGTCATACGTCGGAACTTTACATCAGTCAAATGCAGTTATTGCACTCTATGGGTTCTACAGCTGCAACAACCACCACCTACACTCACTTCCTCACCTCCAGGATCCCCCACGTACACGTAAACGCGACAAAGTCCCTGGAAGTAGATGAATAAATGGTTGTAGACGATCACGATCGCTACTTGTGTCCCACCATTTCAAAGGAATTGAAACACGATGTAATGGTTTCTGCCGTCTAAATTTCAGAAATACTATTCTTAGGTAATGGACAATACTCCTCAAAGTGCCAGTCCGCAGGAGTAGGTTGGAGCGAACTCCAAGGGCTTCTGCTTCGCATTGTACCAGAATTAAGTCTGCGGTCAGACCTTGTAGCCGAAAGTACTACCAGCTGTGCTTCCATATTCCTCTGGCCTGGTGGCCAGATGTTGGACCCCATACGCACGCACACACGCAAACGACTTTAACTGTTCGGCATTTCGACTAGTGGAGATCACACCACAAACTATCAAACCACCCCGACCTATCAGATAGGCGACTTTAATGTAAAAAAAAGCATTCAGAGGCCAATACACCGTAAGCAGAAAACCCAGGCTCAGACAGAATCGAATGTACTCAAAAGGTACTCGGCCCCCTTCTTAGCCTGAATGCAACAACACGCTGTATGACAATCAGGTCAAGGGAGAATACACCTAACAAAACTTGCATAGCGTCCGTTGAGACGGTGCGAGCTTGAAAGGGAAAGTCAAATACGGACATAAAGTTGTTGCATAAGGCATATTTTTGAATCTGGTCGAATAAAAGTACAATTATACGCCTTATCTTTGCTTGGATTTACAATAATTTTTGTGCTAGTTGAATAAAAAATAAACAAAATAAATAAATAGAGAGGCTCATGACCGCAGACAAGAATTAGTTAAAGATTTGAATTTGCGCATAACCAATTTGTGGACTATGCTAATGAAGTAAAAACTTTCATCAAGTGCCTCGATTGGTGCAGTCGGCTGACAAGTTCACGTGACTACTTTTGATAAACAACGGTATTTTCGTCAAATGTCAACAACTGCTGCTTCTTCAACGAGAGGAAAACTTTTTATATGCAAAGAAGATAAAACTTTGGGTCACAGGGTCGCACCACCCACAAATGGTGCATACAAATGATCATGGATACGTCACCCAACTAAGCAAATGAAGATAGGTACGGGCTCTAGAAATGTAAGACTGTCTTCTATGAATTTTTTCAGTTACTCAAAATGTAATTATAATGACTAATCAAGGAAAATACAAAACTCTAAGCGCAACCGTGGAAGTAGTTACCCAATGTGATCAGATATATACACGGCGGTTAGTGATGATTCAAATGGGCTAACTTTAGCTTATCTGTTTACCGCCTATGTCGTGCAAATGTTTACCGCACTGTCAAGTGGCCATCACACGCTCGGCCGTAAGCAAAATGTTAACAACATAGTGGAATTTTGTTTTGCGGCAACAAACGACAGCTTCTAGAATCTAAGTGTGAATGTAAGGTCTTCGCTTTATCGCCAAGTTTGCTCTGCTTCCAGTTTTGCCACTAAATCGTTTGCGCATATAAATACTGGAGCCCCATTATCAAACTCATACAGTAAACGAAAAGTTTTCCAAACGAAAACCACCATCAACAAACGAGCCATCTGCGAAAATCTAGGATGCAACGCTTCATCATCACATTGGCTCTATTGTGCGGTCTGAGCTCCGGTTGGGCTCTACGACCCGCACCAGCTGCTGGTGTATCACCACCACCACCGGCCACGCTCACACAAGATATTGAGGAGTTGTATCGTCTCATACCATCGAAACCGATTAACAAATTGGTCATACGTTATTTGCTCAACGATGCTCAATTCCAGGCCGCCATACGTATCATTAATTCGCACGATGCCTACATGGTGCGTATGCGCCTCTACGCTCAACCGGAAATCATACAATTCCAGTCGTGGGTACGCTCACAATTGCTGTTGTCTGGCGGCGGTTCGTTGGAGCTCGAGGAGTCCGAGGAAATATTGAGTCTGTTTAGACCCACACCCTATTGGTCCGTCTACGGTTGGCAAGGCTTCTTCAATGAATTCCTCGCATACTTCCCACATGAGATGTTACGCGCCCAAATCGATGCTAAGGTGGCCTTGGGTGGCAGTCTCGCACAATTTTGGGCTAGATTGAAGGCTTTGGCACCGGTCTATGAACGTGTGTTGGCCTTTCCCGAGTCGAAGCGCATCGTTGCACAACTTGAACAGAATGGCGTGAATTTCGGACAAGTCGATCAGTTTATTCGCTCCTTGTTTGATTGGTATCCAGTTATCGTGAATGCTCCAGGTGCAGCTGTCGACGCTGCTGCTCCTCCCGCGCCCGCCATTCCAGCGGCTCCCAATGCTGTTGTGGTTTAATAATTGTCGATGAACTTAAGCAGCTGTTGATAATCGAATAATCGCCAAAGCAAAACTATGTTATTTATACCGATTTATTCCATTAACGAATGATATTAACGGTTTGTGTATGTTAAAAACATAACAAACATTCTTGTACGAGTATTTCAATTGTTTGACTTTAATTAAAAAATAAGTGCTCATAAATAATGTGTTTCTATAAAAGATTGGACTCCTATACTTTGCATAGTTCTTCTTCTTTTTTACTGGCGTAGACACCGCTTACTCGGTTATAGTCGAGTTAACAACAGCAAAGCGAAGCCAGCTCGCACTCCACCTGGTCTTTCCAATGGAGTAGAAGTCTTTCTCGTGCTCCCCTTCCCCCGGCGGGTACAGCGTCGAATACTCTCAGAGCTGGTGTGTTTCGGATGTCATGACCTATCCAGCGTAGCCGCTCTCTTTTAATTCGCTGAACTACGCCAATGTCGTTCTACATCTCATACAGCTCATCGTTCCATCGAATGCGATATTCTTCGTTGATTTCGTTGATAGTTTGCATACGAAAACAGATATTTCGGGATACTAAGTTTAATCGGTAGAAGATGGGATGGAGGTGAGTAGATCTGGCCAACTAATTATAATTCCTAATTAATTTAACTCGCGCCGTTCTTAAGAAGTTTAGGGGATCTAAAATAGCTGTTTTGCCTATTTTTTTAGCCTGTCGAAATACCAGTAGGGTTTGCTATATTGTATATTTCCGAAGAAACAATTGGTGATAATGGTCTGGAGGATAATGGTTGGTTATATCTTTATGTGTACACATGAAATCCGAGTTCAGAAAAAGATCTTGCGTTTAAGTTTTGAGAGAAGGGGTTATTTAGTGGAAACTTGACTTAGCATGTCATATAGACTGCTAACTAACTGATTCTTTGTAACACCTAAAACTAATCGAGAATCTTTATATTATATCAAATACTTAGATCAGATGGATGAGTAGACTACCGAATTGTCCGTGCATGCAATATTTTGATCTAAACTAGTACACGTGTACCCTAGAAGTCGGAGGAGGATGGGCGAATATGAGGCCCTTATTTGATCTCAATATAGTATGTCAATTGGTGTCTGTTTGGCAGTTTTCAGTTTTCCTGGCGATTTTTACAATGGAAAAAAACAACAACTTCGAGTTTGCTTAAAAGTTTGTGTTTCTAAAGGAAGTACGGCTACGGAATCGAATTGATTACAATAACGAGTCTTTTTATCTAAATTAGCTGTGTTCCCTAGGAGTCTGTGGAGAGCGGTATTGCAGCTGAGCGAATTTCAGACCTCTAGATAACGAATATGATTACCTTAGTCTTATAGCTGACTTTTTACAGCAATTGTCAATTCATGTGTAAAATTTATTAATAAAGTAAGGTGACGATCTTTTTCGAATAATAATGTGGCGTCGGTTAAGTACTTCACCTAACCCCTAAATCCCCAATATATTGATTTTCGGTTCTCCGGTTGACTTTATATCGAGTATATAAGTTACAATCTGTTTGGCATAAAATAAGAAAGAGACCGTATACATATATATGGATATATACCTAATAAACCTGTCTGTAAAATTTTATCAGTGAAATTCTTAACAATAAACTTCCATTGCAAATAGAATTATCGTTTTTTTTTATTATTTGAGGAATAAAGATAGTTAATTATTACAGAAGATAGTATTATGGTACGTGGTATCCTGTTGTCATATGGAGCTAGAGATTTAAAAAGCGGTTTTTATTACTATTCTTCAAAATAGTTGGCGTTTCCAATCAGTTCTATTACTTGCCGGACAAACCCTGTATTTTCCCAAAATTGGTTTCGGATATATGAGCGTTTTTGTAAGAATTGTTTAACTTATAGATCAGCGTAGATCATTTTTGAAAACCACTTTTTAAGATGTCAACCAACACCTTGCGTTTTCCTGACCGCAGATCGTTCGTAAATTATTTTCCTACTTTAGATAGATTTAAATTTTTAACATTTTCAAAGCCTTCTCCGCTAGTCTTTTAGTGCAATCGGCTCCCACAACTTTAAATTTAGATATCTTGATGAAATTTGCTACATATGTTCCTTGGTATCCAAGATAATCGTAACCAGACCGCTAAGACGCCTACCAAATGCCATCAAACAAAAAACTATAAAGTAACATAACTGAGCACTTAGTTAAGAGACATAACTGTATCTTGGTAGGGAATGTCGCAATAAGTTTTTCTAAGTGGGTGTAGGTACATCATTTCATAGTGCATTACAAAACTCAGAAAACATGAAACAAACCAAATTCTGTAAATTTTCATAATCAATTTATCTTTGAAAAATGATGATGTAGCAAAGTTAATGGATAGACAAATGTCGAAAACATATATTATGGCGTTATTAAAGACTTATTTATATGAGTTCTTGCTTTACAATTTTCTAGTTCACAAAATATTTTTAAGAATCAGCAGTAATCTGGCATAATTTAACGATCCAATCAACCTTAAAACCTATCTTATATCATTTTTAGATCCTAGTCAAATATTTCACTTTATTTCTAACCATAATTGTCCAAATTATTCGAAAATATATTCAAATGATTGCGAATAGAATCTAACTAATCACTACTAATGTGTATCAAATATTACTTCATAAAATTTTAGAACTTATTTTGGACAATTTCTTCATTATTATGTGTTTAATGGTTGCCTAGGAAAATTTCGCCTATCACTTAAAAATGTTCCCAGCTACAATTTCAGGAAAATTCAGAACTATGATAAAACTGTGTATTTTTCAAGAAGTGCCGTATTTGAGAATCACCTTTAAAATATTTACTCCTAATAATAAAAAACCGATATTTAAAAGAATATTAGATATGCAATTATCTTAAAAACGAGAGCACATTCAATATTTTCATGAATAAGTTCATAATCAGGGCAAGAAAAAAAAGGAGTTTTGGTACAACTGTGTTATTAGAGTACATGAAATTTTGTTAACGAACATTATTTTAATTTATTTATGAAACAAAATAGCTCTAATGGCTCTTAATAAAACAAAACAAAAAAAAAAAAACGCGTTTGACTTCAAAGTGGATATAACCTTTTAGAGATGTATAGATTTAACGTACTATAAACATCTAAACTGCGAGTATATTTCTGGCATGGAATACACTACTGAAATCGGTAGAGCGACTGCCTTAGTCGTTATAATATTACATGAAATAAAAAAAAAAAAATCGCATTAATTGAAGATATATGTTTCTTATGTTTCTCTTATAAATTTTATTGAGTAATTCTCTTTTGTGATACTACAATGCATTTAACAAAGAAAAGTAACATTAATGATAATTTTTATGAATATTATAATAATTCAATGCATGCACTAGTCATGTACATAAGATTTTTACTTTCAATTATTTAGTTGATTTACTTCGTAAAGAACTTTTATGCGCCAATCTATTAAAAGTCGATAACGTTCTTCTTTGCTTATCTTCTGTACATACACATACATAATTAAAATTATGGTATAAACTTAGTTATTAAAGAATATAGTTTGTTTGACTGTTTTGAGTGTTCGTAAATTTAGTATGCATGTATGTGTGTGTATGTGTAGAGCAATGTGTTTATTGCAAACTTTAGCACTTTTTGTTGTAAAGTTGTTATTTTAGCAAGAAATTGTGAAGATTGGCCCGGTCCTTGGCGATAATTTCTCGAGTTCAGGAGGGATGTTTTGTAAAGTGTTTGAAAAAAAAATAAAAACGTTCAAAAAATTTTTAAAAATGATTTTTGAAATTTTAAAAATTATTTTTAAAATTTTGAAAACGTTAAATATATAAATAAAAAAATTATTTTTATTTGAGATATATTTAATTTTTGAGTTTTTTGTTTAATTTTTAAATAATCGTATTTCTTTAATAATGATTATTATTTAAGATCATAATATTTTCACTTTCTATTTCCCATTATACTTTTAGTAAATATTATTCATTAATTTCCTTATTTCACTGTTTCTCATCCCAAACAATTCGAAAAAAATCGCTAAGGACCGGGCAAACACTTCGTCGGCTTTCCACTGCTCTACGCGAGAAAGCGCTTCTGCTTGCCAACAACAATTGCCGTGCATCCGCTATGTGTTCTGTTATGAAATTTCTCATATTGTCTGTAGTATGTCCAGTGATGTTTTGTCTTCGTTGAGCCACACGATTTGCAATACTTCTATATTTGCTCTTTATCAATTCTTTTTTCGTTTCATCCATTTTGGTATGCAATCGTTAATGAAATCTCCTAATTGTCTGTAGATCATCAAAGATAATATGGGCAAAACTAACCAAGCATCCTTGAAGAGATACACATAGCAAGCCACCATAAAGAGAACCAAATCGGTGGAATAACTCAGCGCTGAACGGACTTTTTCATGCGCCTCCTCCTCCAGCTGCTCGACGCTCTTCATCTCCAACTCCGACTTCTCCTTAGCGACCATGGAGAGTAGCACTTCGGGTGGTGGCGGCAGTATACCAGTACCGGTGGCTGTTGCTGGTAACGGACGTCTACCGTAGGGTCCAGGAGACTTTGATTGGCCGGTAGAGGTGCGTGTACGTGAGAGCACACGTCTCCTGACCGGTGCTTGCGCTTCGGCGGGAATATCAAAATCTATATCTTGTTGCGATGCAGCGCTGGATGGTGGTCGGTTAATTGAAGCGTCTCTGGAACGTGATGGCACACGCTTCTTAATAATGCGCTTCACCTTGACGATGCGTGTGCGTCCGCGCGAATCTGGACGTTCGTAGGTTGTTTCGCTGATTACCTCAGCGGTGGCGCTGTCATCGTTCGCCAGCAGTTCCGACATTATTGTTGATGTTGTAGTTGCTACAGGCGTGGTGTTAATTTTGTTGTTAGCGGTTGGTGGTTTGGTTTCTTTCATTGCTGGTGGTTTGGTTTCTTTCACTACTGGCATGGTGAACGCTTGTGAGCTACTCTCACTAGGTGTTGGTGTATCTGGCACAGCTTCCTTAGGTTGTTCTGTGTATGCCATGCCACTACCGCTTTCACGTACGTGCACCAGTTGACCGCGCTCGGATATTGAGAGACGCGGTTTATTACTAATCGGTGGTATAAGACCAACATCTGGTGATTGAGAGCGACGCATGCGCATTTCTTCGTCGTAATCTCTATTGTCGCCTGCCTTTTTCAGTTCATTCTTGT